ACACACACACACAAACACACATATATAAAGGTATTAAAACAACATTCTTAATTAGTATGATTAAGTTTGCTGGATGCTGGATAAGGCCACAAAGCCACCATGCTTATTTCAAGCTTACATGGAATGCTAAGCATGGGTTACCCCTTATGAAAGAAAGAAAAAAAAAAAAGGCTGTTCACCTTATTTATCAAATAAGGCAGGAAAGCAAAATATTAAGTATGCTGTTGTTGCTGAGGCGGCCAAAACAGGAAGCTATAAACTGAAGGCAGAGAAAATGGCTGCAAGTATCAAAACCAGGCAAGATCCCTTACTTCTCCCCACCCCCAAAGCAGTTCTCGTAGGTGGGTCCTGCCCCTCCACCCCCTGCCCCGACCATGAGTTAATGCCAAGAACTAGTAACTTTCAGATCCACACCATGATAGGGTGGGGCAAGAAGAGAATATGAAAATGTTGTACAAAATGAAGGCATGCAAAAGAGAAACCAAGTGAGAAAAATAAAATGTAGCCAACTCCAGAGAAGGGATAACAGCAGGGCAGCTTTGGCCAGGCAGTGCCCACATGCATGCAGGGTAGGAAGTACCTTCGACTTGCTCTCAGACTGCGGAGTGCCTTCTTCTTTGCCATCTGCTTTGAGAGGCATGGGCAGTTTGGATTCACCAGGGGACATCATATCTGCAAGACCCATAGATGCTAATCGAAAACAGGAGAAAGAGTCAGGATTATACATGTGATTTGTCAGACTGTTTTCCTGCCAACACAAGAAGTGAATGAAGCACACAGAACCTGAATTTTCCTTGAAGGCAGAAAAGAATAGAGAAATGATAACTGGGAGTATACAGAGTTCCGACACTCAAAGCCTACCACATTCTGGTGACCTTTCTTTGCAGAGAGGGAGGGGGAGGAAGAAAAGGAGAAAAGGGGGGAGGGGGAGAAAGAAAGAGACAGAGAGACAGAGAGAATAATCATGCTGTATGTTTAAAATCCAAACCACTAAAGTTCAATTTATAGTATTTTTTTTGAAATTATTATAGCTTTATTAGAGTAGCAACAAGTGAAAAGAAGCCAAATGCTTAAACTGCTCATCAAGTGATAAAAACAAATGCTGTATGTGCGTGTGTAGCTTTTACCTCAGTATGTGCCTAATTTTCTCAATCGAAGTAATGTGTAGTTTGTAAAATCATTTGGTAATTCTTATTGTCTCCTTTGAAATTCTTATCTACTGTATATAGTCTAGTCTAAGATAAGGAAACATAATCATATGAATGGCTTTAAAAAGAATAATCAGAAAATTTTGAAGGGAAAGATTTCTAATTACTTTGCAGTGGGGCTGGTACCCTTGGTCTGGCAGAGACCCTGCAGTCATCAGCCCTCCCTGGCAGCTCACCACCAGCTCAGACACACACAGGAGCTCCAGAGCCAACACAGCCTCTCTCTAGGCTCAGCAATGCAATCACCTCCTCTAGGCATTAGATAAAGGCTCACCAGAGAATAACTGATTCATATACATTTATTGCAGACACTAATAGATACTTTCAGGTTAAAAATACGGGTTTTGATTTCTTTTTAAAGGAAGAACAGGCTATAGCAGGGAATTGGTGCAGCTATCCAGGGACTAACAGCTGAATTTCCACAGAACCCCACTGTGAAAACCATCTGCACAACCCTGGGATGGAGGGGCTGTGAGGGAGATACCAAACAGATGTGTGAAGAACTGAGTGAGGCGGGGAGCCTAGGGGACAGGAGAGTGAAGGATGAGCCTTATAAAGCAGTGGAAGCCAGAAAACCCTACCTGTAAAAGTAGCATGAACCTGAGGTTTATGTGCAGGACTCATTTCACACCCTGCAAAAACAACTGCTGGCTCAATCAGGCAGGACACATGGAACACAGGATGCCAAAAAAACAAAAAAACACCAGCTTTAAAAAAGGCTCCACAGATTGCCCACTACAAAATGATTATTGCACATATTCATGTATTACTATGTTTTAGAAAATAATTAGTTTTAATTACAGCAGTGAGAGAGTGAGCAGGCTCTGGTGAATTAGCTGGCAAACTCTCTGGTGCTAATTTGCTAATATCGTTAGCATCACTGCAGGTTGAGACCATAGGTCCTGCCAAAAAAGCCTACCCTGCCACGTGCCTGTAAGTTTACATCAGCACACTCAATAATAAACTCTGAAATCCTGTATTTTCCACAGGCACATTGGCTAGTGTTTCAAAGCCCATTTGCAGCCCAGTCAGCCCTTAAAGTCATCACAACACACACAAATCATAATTAGGATGTTTTTCTTTTTTTCAAATTACTTTCAATACGTAGACTTTAAGAACTGGAACAAAAAGCTTTTTCAAGTGATGCAGCTGCAGAGAAAAATCTATTGGGATCAGCTAAAAATGCTGTTATTTTTGTGAATGTGTGAAACCTCAAAAAAGCAGCTGAGAGATATTACAACCAAGAAGACCGCCTTGTTCAAAGTGGATTGATTTCATGCAACGTTATCCCTGGGGTCTAACAAGACAGGAATTAGTAAACCTGTACATTTAAAAACATCCTTTTTAGAAGAATAGAAGGATAAAAAAAAAGCAGCAAAATGCAAAAAGAGGGCTTGTATAGGAAATTCCACATATCCTTTTTCTTATCTACAAAATGAGTTTGAAGAAATTATAGTTAGCACAACTCCAGAGAAAGCAGAGAGGTCACGTAATAGTGATAACTTTCAGTTGTCAGTATTTGTACATTACAACTGTTTCTGAATATTATTTTGAAGTTAATAATATCAGATTTTGTCATCAATAAACAAAAGCAATTTTAATAATAAAGAACTAGGCTAATGTGTCTTATTAGTGATAATTTATACTGATTTAAAAGACTTACATAAACATAAGCATTGTGTTGATTTAAATCGCCTCAAATAGCTTAGAAGGACATTTTAGGTACACAAATGCAAAAACTCAAAATTACATTGCTTTAGTATCTTGGGAGATAAATAAGGATAGAGTGTAGACTAATAGTTTTATTATTCTTCTGCCTGACAGTATGAATTTTACTTTACCAAGTGGACTAGAAAGTCTTTTTTCACTATAGCTTTTACTGCTCTCTTTGATGAAATGCTTATTTTTTAACTTCTTACCAGAATTCTCACCGAGTCGCTGCAAAGAGTCACACATCTCCTGGGCAATGGCACTCCAGGGCATTAGTTTTTCCTTGTTGCCCAGAAATGTAAGACCCACTAGTATCCTAAGCACGCATTACATCAAGGTTCTCTTCTTTCCTGATTGACACCAGTGATGTAGTATGTAAAGTTAAAATGCAGGGAGGAGCAGTAAGGAATCTGCAGAAAGTGCTGCCGGAGTGCTGTAAATACATTTCAAGCACAGCCTCCGGCCATACCAATGAAATTTAAGAGCTAGAATGAGTTCTTAAAGGCAGCCTGGGTCACGGTCCTAAGGCAGTTATTCTGCCCTAGATTTAATACATTCAAAAGAATATAAAGAACATATGAAGAAGTAAAACTGAACCTAAACATTCATTTTTGTTTTCTCCAAGCCTCTTTCAATCTCCTTACAAGGCTGCAGAGTCATTCCCAGAGGATGGTAAAACAGGATCAGAAACACTGTTATTTTCTTTTGATAGTAATATACTACATTCTGGAAAATATTTTATTCCTTGTTACTGAAAGCAGAAAGAGCACATCTTTGTGTGTATATCTGTAGATGTTCATGACTACTGATATATGTGGCAAAATATAAAATGCACTGTTAATATGAGAATATAAGAGATATGGAAGCAGTACACTTCCTTCTTGCAGGTACAGCAAGGCCATGAGAAAATCCTTGAGACAATCCTATTTTGAGAACCTCTTTGGGGACAGTGACAGTGAGAGGTTGAATGCTAGGTATGAGCCCTATTTTGCACCAGTATTGCTCCCTGTGCTGCCACACCAGCAAAGCTGTTATACACAGCTGCTTAGGAAAATGGTCATGACAGCCCCAGTCCCTGTGGCCTGGTGCACCAGTATATTTTGGCAAGATCTCAGCATGTACCTCCCTTGTTTACAAGAACTGGTTTTCAGGGAAAGAAGGGATTCATCTAAAATTGTTAACTTAAGCAAGCCAACAGACACTTCTGTAAACTTTTTGGGCAATTAAACATCATCAGGAGTGCTAAGGACTCAAAATTTCCAGTATGGAAGACCCCAAAATTCTAAGAAAACAGCTATCTATCAAGCTGGTATATTTACATTCTAGGCAGTTTTGCATGCCTCTTTACAATCTCAAAACAGCAAATTTTCTGGTCAAAATCTAATGTATATAGAGCTGGTGGTAGTTGTGCTAGGTGACAGTAGAGCAAAAGACAGTGGTACTTTGGTTCCTGAACTTAATTTGTTTTATGATTTTTGGAAAAGATGATCATGTTCATTTTTGTGTGGGAAAATGACTGTGGTCCTATCTGTCACCTGAGCAGAGTCTGAAAACAAAAGTGTTCATTAACTATGGTACCACTGTACCCCCCAAGCCAGCAATTCTCAAACTTTGGCATGCACATGTAAAAATTACTTGTGCAGTCTGTTAAGAATATAGACTTCTGGGGCCATCCTCAGAAATTCTAATGGAAACCTGGAATCTATAATTTTAACAAGCATTCCAGAGATCCTGAAATAGGTGGTTTATAATTTTGTGGCAGTGTGATGGATTGCTTTCTTTGTAAAGGACTATTGTGATTCCTATACCCTATATAGAGTAGATACTAACAGGACACTTTGCATGTGGGACTGAGCATGCTGGGAGATACAAAGACTCACTACTGCAATTTGACCAGCTCTCTGAATAAGAGAAAAGCATGGCTGCAGTGGCACGTGGCTACCCTTTTACTGACTACAGGCTACAGAGTGGAAATGGCTAGCATTTTGTGGAGTGTCCTCTGGTGTGGTAAACTCAAAAGTGCAAATGGTAGGTATATATTTTTTTTAAATTTAGATGTCCATTTTAACATATTGCTAGTAAATATTATAAATGGCATACAAAAAAGTACAGTTTGACTAACAACACAGATATTGTATAAAGGGTATATGTAACAAGGTTACACATGACTTATAATCTTCCCTTCTAATTTAAACAGCTAAAACAGAACTGAAAAACTCTTTCAGAAGGAAAGACCCCCACTGCTTACCATGTAACTTCCTCTGGCATTTTAAGCAAAGAAAGTCATCACACTTAATACTCACACTGACTCCACTTAAATAATTACTCGCTCCCTGAACCCTGTGACAATTTGTTACTATGCAGGAAGACTTGTTTGGCCTTCTACACTGCCTGCAACACAACGGTCTGAATTCAGTGAAGAGAATGCTAGAATGATAGTTGCACTGGCTGTTAACTGAGATGCAGAAAATTCTACTATCAGCCTTGGCTAGAATTTGTGTTAGTTTTATTTTCTCTGAAAGTACAGGGATGATGGAGAAATGTTCTACTATTATCACTGGTAATTTGAGTCTCCATGGACTCAAGCCAAGGAGATGGATAAGAGGGCGAGTCATTTCTACACATCTCTACTCCACTGTACTCCTCAGATTCCAAATCCTCATCAGAAGCTACACTGTATGGTACTGTGTCATTCCCATTGCCTCAGAGATTAGCACAGCTAGAGCAGATTCACACAGGCCTATCAATAGATACACAGTAAATGCTAAATGGTCAATATTCCTTGGGTGTACTGAAAATTACTTTCTATTGGGTAGCATCTGACGTAATAAAACTGAAAAAAATCACATAAATGTGGAGCAAATTTGATGTTTAAATGGTTAAAAATTCAGTATTTGAGAATGCACTATGCAATAAAACAAACTACTTTCCATAAGAAAACTGTGAGAATAAATAGCCTTTTACAGATTTCCTCTATATAAGGTAATTAGCAGCTGCATTATCTGAATAATAATAATAATAATAATAATAATAATAAACCCTTTGTGAATCCCTGCTAAATTGTATATTCCTCAGGAATACACACATCTTTTGGGGCAGGGCACTGTGCAATGTTTATTGTTGGTTATTTTTTGTGGCTCTGAGATCCAAAAAGAAAAAAAAAAAAAGGGAAAAATGAGTACCACTAATAGGTGAAAATTTATCAAGCAGTTTAAATAGTCTGAAGAGGTTGTATTTCTAGAAGACAGACAATACATACACTGTTTTGTCAGATTGTCACAATCTGGATACAAAGGGAGAGCACTACTTAAGTTCTCTGCAACCAATTGCTGGAAGTTTGTACTTTCATCTCTACTGCAAAATACCCACATTTCTTCCTGAGTAACTGCCTGCTTAACCTCAGGAAGGAGTACTTTATTGACTTAAGAACTCCATTTTTACCAATACTACTTATGTTTGTCTCTTTCACAAACCTTTAAGAGAATAATTAGGGAATGACAGTATTAAATGAGACTCTAGAAATTGATGATTTAGAAGCTCAAATAGGAAGTAATCATGGTCTCTCCAATACCAGAAGCCAGGAAAGCAGTAAAAGGCATCTTCGATGAAAATAAAGGTGGTCAAACGATTCAGGGCTCTAACCATAATGTTTTCCTGAAATGTCATAAATCTGGACACAGCAGCTAAACCAAATTGTGTGTTAAATAAAGGAACAAACCCCACCAGGAGGGCCTCTGCCATTCTGCCAAACATACCACACTGTCTTATTACAGATTTAGCACTCTTTCTCTTTGGGAAGTTCAGGAACGTGAGGGGGAGACCCACTGACTGTCAGGCTCAAGGGTCTCAGAGCCAAGAACATGGGATGTCTGCAAACACTTTTGATGTTTCCCACCAACTCACAGAATAATTATAATGTACTAATCAGAGGTGATTTTTTTAAGAGTACAACTGTTGAGATTATAAAGTGCATTTAAAGAACATGTGAAACATTTTTTTAACAGTTTTCTATAAAGATAATGTGCAAATAGATAATCTGCAAATAGTACTTATACATACATTTATTTGTTTATTTACTGTGGTTGGCTCAGTCTGCCCTATGGCTGGGGCTGGTGCAGTATGTGGTGCCAGGGATCAAACCGCAGACCCTGTGCATAGCCTAAGCTTGCCTAAGCAGGCGCTTCAGACTGCTGAGCTATCTTGCCGGCCCTATACATACATTTAAAGATGCTTCCCTAAGTGGAAAAAAAGCCCTCAAACTCCCTTTGTTCTGTTCTTTAACCATTTCTTCTGACACGTGGATTTGGAATGATGATCTTTACCACTATCAAATGGTGAGTTCTTGTTTTGGGATCTTATAATACTCCTAAAAATTCTCAAAGATAAGAACTTAGTGTTTAGCAAACAATCTCCAGTGATACTCGAAATATGTGTAGATCTTATACAAATATAGAAGGAATAAAGCAATTTTGATAGAATATTAACAATCTTAAGTCTCAAATGGACTGAACAGTTTTAAGTAGTAACATTCTATTATCTGCCTTCTTGAGCTGTCAGGGCATATTCCCTGTGGAAAACTAGGAGGAGAAGGGAAGACAGAGCAGATCCCTGGACAGAGCTGCCAGGTTACCTGTTGCGCTGTTCACCATAGCTGGTGCCATGCTGTATGGTGGCCCTTGTGTGTTCATCAGGCCAGAGCTGTTGTTCATGGGCTGGCTGTATGGAGAGCTGGAAGCCATGAGTCCACTCTGGTTCATGCCAGGAAAACTGCCTTGCCTATATGAAGATAAAGGCACAGGCACATATAATGACCATGCATATCAGACAGTTCGTCTCAACAGTCATCTCTAATAATGTGCTCATGTAAGGGTGGAACTACTATTTTCCATGTTTGATAAAAATTGTCTATTTCCTAGAGAGAGATGCTGCACTCTACTACTATGTAAATGTTCAGTACACCATTCAAAAACTTCAACTACTTCATTTACATAAATAAATTACACATTCATATTCATATCAACTTCCAACTTACCAGGCATATAGAGAAACAAAAATAGGAAACTTGAAATAAGAATAGGAATTACAAAAGTGAAATTAATGTCTAGTATTTACCATGACCTGCCCATTAACACTATTCAGCATCTTTACGTCAAAACCAGGAGTCAAAAAGTGAAAGGCAAATGGGTAGTGAGATGGCTACTAAACAATATTTCTTTGCCCTAAATTTTTTGATTTAAGTGAGAAGTAACTGCTGAAGCTCTCACCTCTATTATTTAATTTTGTGAAGGTAGGTTCTGTTTAAAACAGCAATTTCCTGATATTGAAATTACACAGTAGACACCAGAGCTCTATCTATTCTTGAAAGAGCTTCTCTGTTATGGGAGAAGATAGGTGCTTAGATTAGCTAGCATTCCTAATTGGCACAGTATTTGCCTCTCATGGTGTACATTGGTAACATCATCTCTTGGCAACTTAGTTTTGTCCTATGCTTTGTTGGAAAGAGACAATTTTTCTTCATCCTTGAAAAGAAAAGGTTATTCTTTAATTTGCAGGAGACAATTAACTCTTTGACACTAGTAATGAGATGGGGGAGGGTTTAAATGGCTCAATGCTCTTTTTCTCCCAATGACAATTCCAATGCAGTAAGACATACTGCCAAGGGGGTATAATTTTTACAAGATTCCATACTGTTATGGCTTGCATCTAGCTGCTCCCCTAAAGCCTGATGTGGCTGGTCATAGATGGGGCTTTTTGGAGGTGGCTGGATCTAGAGAGTGTGATACTTAGACTAAGAATGTGATGATGGGATTGATTCATGGTGCTATGATAGAATTAAAGGTGTCCCACCCAGTTTGGAAGTGCTACCCCACCCTAAAAGGAGGTAATCTAGAGAGAATATAAAGGAAAGAAAGAACACTGCTGTTACTGCTTGCCACTTGCTGATTTCCAACGTCACTGCTTTGCTGCCTTCTACCTACCATCAGATGTTCCTCCTCTGGGATGCCCCTCCTCCATGCCACCCTGCCCTGGAGCCAGCCAACTATGAACTGAAATCTCTACTAACTATGAGCCAAAATAAACTTTTTCACCTTTAACGTTGGATGGGGAGTATTTTGTTTCAGCAATAAGAAAAGTAAGCAAGACACATCTTTATAGTCAAGTGCTCCTTATGTAAATAGATACTTCTAAAAACTTTTTAAAAATTTGGTAATATTACTATTAGGAGCAAAGATAAAAAGAGACCTTCATCTGTTCCATATTAATTCTGATTCCTGCTCTACTACCAGTAAACTACCGTATAGTAGCTATTAATGTATTAACAGTCAACATTTTATATGGGATTCCTTAAAAGATTAAGATAAATCATTTTGTGAAATCAATCTTCATTATTTTTATGTCTATTTTCAGTGGACTTTATGCTTTGTAGAAAAACTGAAATAAACACGGACTAGTTTATAAAAAAGTAAAAAAGGCTTACTATCTCTCCTCCCCCAATAACAAACCAGTCAAAGAAATTCTGTATCAATATTCAATGATGGGGGCTAGAGAGAGATAGCTCAGTAGAATAAATGCTTGCCTGGCAAGTTCAAGGTCATGAGTTCAATCCCCAGTTTAAAAAAAAAAAAAAATTGAATGATGGCTTCAAAAGAACATTCTCAAAAGGCTGAAAAATGAACAGTGGAAGTGAATGTCCACTGGGGTAGGGACTGGTGCTCAGGGTTCGGAGTCTCAGCTTGCTGAGGTCCCACTTGGGTTACTATGGAGGGCTGATTACTATTACAAGGCCCACTGTTGTTCCCTAGACAGACATGAGCTCATCTACTGGTATCAGATTAACCTGTAGGTCATCAGCCATGTCTAAGGGTATTGCAGAGGAGCATGAACATGTTATGTGGCTTGGGTCTCAGCATCATCCTGTAAACTGCTGGTACTAATTCAAGTATTCTGGGTGCCATTCTGAGGTGTTTTTACTCCCATGAGAGACAATTCAACACTCATTTGAGTTGCAGAAGCAGCTCCTGTTGGGTTGTTCTCTCAATTTCTTAGCAGGTAAAGCACTCAGGGGCACACTTTATTTCTGAACAGGCTGTTTTCTGGAAGAGTTCTTCCGAGTTATTGCCTATTCCAAGTTACAGCTAACCTTGACCGTTTCTGTAAGATCCACTTTAGTGGGTATTATCCTTCTCTTCCTTCCAGGCTAGATGTCACATCTACCATCTTGATGCAAGCCACACCTGCGCCTTATACAGTACTGAACTCCCTCCTGGGTGTGTTTGATTTCCATATGTAAATGGAAGGTGTCTAAGTTTCTCTAGACATTTGAGCCTTATAAGAGGACGATCTAGGCCTAAGTAACCCTTGCATAAGATAGTCATTTAAAAAATGTAAAAAGAATGAATTGACAGAAAGTGTATTTATTACTGAACAGTGACACTGCAAAATATGATCACTTTTTCAAGTTTCCACCAAATTCAGTTTCACGTGTAGTGTAACTAATGTTATGCATGAAAAATGTCTTTAATAGGGTAAAAAAAGAGAGTCAGAATGTAAAATTTACCAGGCACATGACTAAATGAAGTAACCAATCAACCCTAAGCTACAATTCCTTCCCACATCAGTACTGCACATCTTGTTCACCATGTGATGACAAAAGCGCAGAAGCCTAAAGTTTTGAAAAAATACTCTTAAAATAATAAAAACATAAAAGGCTTAAAGTCTGTGTGTTACATCACTGTTCTCTGTCACAGTGGTCCTCAATTAGCTCATACCTATAGTTTAAAAAGTATGTTTTGAATGCCAGGTATGTTCCTTCTGACATTAGCTGTACTTTATTGTCTCTTTGGGTCTGGGAACAAATCACTGCAGTTCTTTGAAGGGTCTCAATTTTCACATCTGACCATGGAGGGGCTGGCAGTGATACAACATCAGTACCTTACTAAATACCTGCAAACATGCTTGGTATGATTTTGAGGCACCTTACCATTTAATTTTTAAATTCCATCCTCCCCTCCCTGCAAATCAACTTTTTAATAACAATTGAATATGTAATCTCTGAGAAAACTCCAAAGTGAAAAAAAAAATCTATAAAATGTATAAAAATAAAAATCTGAAAAGTCTATGTGTGGATATGGGCAGAATGCAAATCAAGAGTGCTTTCAAAAATGTATTTTTGGGTTCTACTTCTGGATTATTCTTATAATAACCTAGGTTTTTATGGCAGGTCTTACATACACCTAGTCCAATTCAAGACTGATTGAAATAAAGTTTGTCTGGCTACTCTGCAGGTCAGCATGCTTATGTAATAAGCCCCACATCATTCTGCCATACAGTGACACACGCTGTAGTGCTGTGGGGCAGGCCCGGCCCAGGAGAGCAAGGGCTGTGCCACCTGCAGACTCATTCATCTGCACCAGGTGACCTGATCAGCTTCACAGTGCATGGTCTGGAAGCTACCTTAGTGCCTGTCAAGGACAAAAAATCAACTGAAAATGGTCATTACATTACGAATTACCCTCCTCGAGATATGGTGGGCATTTATTGCTGTGGGCATGGCTTTGAAATCTGTCAAATCAGGGCAGCAGTAATCTACTCACAAAACTCTTAAGCATGTAGCCCCTAGAAATCATGGTGCAGTGATTCACTGCACCAAAGGTCCAGGCAAGACAGTCTACGTTTACATGGTGAAGATGATTTCTACTGCCCCCGGGGAGAGACCAACTCCCCTTGTGCACAGGTGAGAGCCACATGGTTCGTGTGCCTGGAAGACTTGCTTCCTTCTGCTGCTTGCAGCACAGAGCCCACTGATTCCCATGCGTAGGTTCCAGTGAACTGTTCCTGTTACACAACTACCACCCCTCTCACTGTAACACCTTTCTAAAGTCTAGATGCCAGGAAGCCCAGAGGGGACTGAGAAAAGTGCTGTTCTGTTTAGTAAGCTTTCTATAGTTAAAGATGCATAAATGAATCTGATAGAATGGTATCACACAGGTAGCACTGGTGCCATTAGACTGTCTTTCATCAAATGTTAGCAGAGTTAGAGGACCTACGGAGAAAGAAGAAGCATGCCGGACTAAAAGCAGGCTTGAGAATTCTGCTTCTGTCACTTACTGTACGACCCTAGGCAAGTCACATTTTTCCCTCTGATCCTTGGCTTTGTTATTTGTATATGTAAGTAATTCTATTTTTCTTGTTAGAATCAAACACCAATTTTAAAGTGACAATTTCCAGTGGTTCAGGGTAAACGCAGATATAACAGAGATCGCCACTATAGATTGTATTCAGCAGTTAAACATACTTGACTGTAATTTTACACCATACACATGAATGAAGGCCCTTCAAACTCCCAGCTGGGGAGCTCTGCTGTGCCGGACTCCAGCATATCCACTGCATATGCCATTCTGAGATATGTTAAGAGTGAACATAAAGCAACATACCCTTTATTGGAATACGAAGCGTGACTGTCAAATATGTATCTTTCTCCATACAGGCCTCTAATGTAGGTGTAGACTGAGCTATGAAGCCAGCAAAGATTGCTTATGGACATATATACCAGGCCAACATTGAACAGTTAGAACCAAAACTGGAAATCCTGAAAAGCCCCAATACAAGAAGAATTTATTTTTATATATGTTACTTTGGAGAAACAAAGTAACAATTGTGTTCCCAACATTACACAGAATGGCCAATTTTAAATGTTTTATAAATTATTTTTACACACATCATGGGTGAAACAGATTTCCAAAAGAATTACATGGTGAATGTTTCAAAGCATTACT